ATGATTTCATTCACGATATATACAGATTAGCAAATAGATGTGACCAGACTTAAAGTAAGAACCCACCAGTTATAGGCATTACAGTTGAGTCTTTATCAGATTTAGCACATTCCAAAGAAGACCTAACTCTAGGGAAAGCCATTCATGTGGTGAATGAAGCAGAGGCTTAGAAATGAAACAGCTCAATCCCAAAAGAATTAGATAAAACTTGGCACAGGGCAGCTAATGTTGTTCCACATGTCAAGAAGAGTGATAAAGGTAAACTAACAAATTATAAACTAATGAAACTAACATCAGTGGCAGGGAAACTACGAGAGAAAATTCTGAAGGAGAAGAAAGGTTCAGTCAAAAATAGTCAATATGCCTTTGTCAGACAGAGGTGATACTAAACAAATTTGTTTGAATTTTTCAAACAGGTGACCAAGTGTGTAGATGAGGGTGGTGCAGTTTTTGTAGCTTATATGGATTTCAGCAAATCCCACATGGGAGACTGATAAAGGAGTTAAAAGCACAATGGGATCCAGGGTAACTTGGCAAGTTGAATCCAAAGTTGGCTTCATGGCAGGAGACAGAGGTTGGGTGTTAGAAGGTTGCTTATGTGATTGGAGGCCGGTGTTCAGTGGCGTACCCCTTATAGTTCCCTTATAGTTTGTGATGTATACAGATGATGTAGATGAAAATGCTGGGGGCGTGATGAGTAAGGATGACATGAAGATTGGTCAGAGAAGGTTGAGGGGAAACCTGATAGAGGTGTATAAGATTATGATGGGCACAAAGAAGATTAATCGAAAGCTTGTTTCTCTTAGTTGGAGAGTCAATAACAAGGGGGCATAATTTATAGGTGAAAGGCAGGAGGTTTAGAGGAAATTGGAGGAAAACTGTTTTCTCCCAGAGGGTGGAGGGTTCTGGAATGCACTGCCAAGAAGGTAGTTGAGGCAGGTAACCTCACAACCTTTAAAACGTACTTAGTTGTCATAACATTTAAGGTTATGGGTCTAGATGGAAGGTGGGACTAGTGTAGATTAGTGTAGCTTTGGTGGTACAGACTTCATGGGTCACAGAGCTGAACTGTATGAATCTATAGTCTATGATCCTAGAAGATCATCAAATTTATTTATTTCTTAACTAAAACTACAAAGGCCACACCAGATAAGTTAATGCTTCAGGTAGGAGAGACATCATAGTCCTTGCCAATACTATGGACCAAAGAAACCTCACAACTGCAAATAGTACCCCTCTTTGAAACCACATATTGTAAGCATGTAGATCTCTTTCAGAAAATGTGACAAAACAGGACAGAGCACAAGAAAAGCAAAAGACCAAAGAAATACCTCCACTCAGAGAAAAATGAAGTAAAACAGTCTTTAGTAGAAAATAAATCTAAGGTTTTCTAAGAGAAAATCAGTTTTCCAAACCAAATATTTTGGCATGCAGACATTTCAATGGACAACTCACAAAGTTCAAGTTAGACACAAGACCTGGTGTCACGGTATTATCAGAGATCGAGCTTTGGTTAACAAAGCATTGCTTATAGCTGACAAAAGTTAAGCTATGCGGTCTAGGGTCATCGTGTTTAATATTAAATGTATGCTACAATCAATTCTCCAACTTGGTGGATACCAAATATTAGAAAACCCATGTATACTTTGCAACCAAGTATTTGTGTTCCTGTGGAGAAGAGATATATTGGCTTCAATCTCATTCAAAAGGTAGAGTTTAGACAACAAAATGTCAAGGAAAAGCTGATCGAAAATTTTGCTGGGCTCTGGTAGTTCTTTACAAAACCCAAATAAAAAGCAGAATCTTCTAAGGTTAGTTACATCAAGTCAAAAAATATTGTTACATTTTGTAAATGAGATGGAGAAAGGTGACTAGAGTGGTTTGGCTGAAATGTTTTCCACCACTGTCAAAACAAAACAGAGTTTAGATTCTGAATGGCAACAAAGTTGGAGGCAAAGTGCAAGCAAAGACGCAGCAACTGAACCAGCCACCCCACTCAAAAGGGTATTTCATGGCAGATGGACAGTGGAAGCATCAGCAACTAAACTGAATGAAATTTCTACACATTGTAATGACCATCCACTCCAAATTAAAGCCTGCCATTAGTGGCTAAGGTGATTAAGAAAGGATAAGCTCAAGAAAAATGTACAACCTCCCATTTCCCAAGGAAGAATCCCCACAACAAAAAGGGTATCATATCAAGTAACAATGAATCTTACAATTGAACAAGCAAATTGATTTCGCCAAAAATTCACTGAGAGGGAAGGAGAAAAACCAAAACACTCAAAAAGTTCACATCGCTTATTTCAGCACAGATCTACAGACAAAATGTGAAATTAATCCCACTGCCAAAAATTTAGAATGTAGTGCCAATAATACCATAGAAGACACCACTAAGAATAAATAAACAACATGCCTTTATACCATGATATTACCTAAAAAATTCACTTGCTATAGCAGGGTCTATAGTTACAAGAATAGATGTACATCAACAAAGTACTCTGCAAAAGAAATGCAAGATATTAAAGACCTTCCAGTTGAAGAGAGAAGTACAGACTTCAGACCTTCATGGAGACTGTCCAAGTCAGTGGTTTCTACCAAACAAACTAACATTCTTACTAGTCCAAAGAAAATACTTTGCGGAGAACAGTGAAACCTCCAGATTGTCTCAATTTGTAAAATCAAAAACTTGTGAGGAGATGGGGTGGAGATAAACGTAAGTATATAAACAAATGCATAACAATAATACTATGAGGGGAAAAAAGGCTTGGGTGGACATATCATAAATGAATCTGAATTGGCTAATACGTCATTCAGCGAAGTAAGTACTACCCACTGTGATGATATAATGGGCACTTGGTCAGAGTAAAGAAAGAGCTTGTAGGAGGCAGGCCTAAGGCTACTGTGCCCCTAACATTCACAGATGTACACACACACTCAGTCAGTCACTCACTCACTCACACTGTTCTGCAGAATCCCAATGGATTCCTATCTTTATCATTCAATAGGTCCATGACCAAAAACCAAGCTCTTTACATTGGCCATAAAAGCTCCATTATAAGGCACTGAAAGGATTTGTAAAGGCAGAGACTCTGATTAATGTCTCATTAAAAGGTCATACCTCCAACGGTGCAGCACCCTCGCACTGGAGCATCAGCCTTAATTGTTGTTTACCAATGGGACTTGCCCCTCTGACTCAGCAGTGACAGTGATATCTACTGAACTACAGCTGGCACATTATGCTGTAGAAGTGTTAAACTGAATTGCCAACATATGAACAATACTTACAGATATTCACCAACCACTTATTCTTTACCTAAGGTGTAGAAAGTCATACACCTCTAGAAATATACATCGAGTGATTTAAATTTTCCAGCACAATATCCCAACTTCCTAACTTCACATCAGAAGTGCAACTTCCTTAATCTTCACTATGCTTTCCAACGATGCACTAGAGAATGATGTCATTAACATTATTCGATTGCATTGTCAGTTACAGAACATATTATCTGGCCAAAACAGGTTCATCTTTGAATATCTTGATCCTTTTACCCAGCCTCTCCTCTCATCTAAGTAGCAGGCATTCCCATAGCTCACTGGCCCTTTTGGGCTTAGAGCCACCAGCAATTCAGTAAAAGGTACAACGGCAACGCAACTGTGATTAAGCTAATTTTATGAATGTGTGTGTCTTTTAGCTTTCTCAACCACTGGATAGTTCATCCATTATCTGTGAGGTAATAAAGAGTACAGGATGGAATAGATATCTTGAAAGGGAAGCTAGATAGATGTACAAGGAAGACAGGAATAGATGGATATGTTGATACAGTGAGATGCAACAGACACGTATGGTCTATAAGCATTGACATTGACTAGTTAAGTGGCCTCTTTCTGTGCTAAAGGTGCTATAATTCCATGAATCTTGAATTGTTCTGTGGATACTTTGGTATTTTGTCAAGAATACCCAAGTGAAAGGATTAATTAAAGATGTCTGGGGAAAGCTGCTGCATTTTGATATACCCAGAGCACAGGCTGACTCAATGGACAAGCTACTAAATTACAAATGATTCACAAGTGACCTGTTTTAGTAAACCAAAGCTTACCCTAGGCTAGAGGAGACTCTGCATCAGCCCTTCAACATGATTCATAAAGAGATTCAACCCTTTCTAACCTATTGTAGCAGCAAAACTGAATGCCATCAAATTGAGTAAGGGAGAGCTTCACTTAGCAGTCTGACATCATTGTTCTGTTTGCAGTGCTTACCATTTCAAAACTCCCTGTTTAAAATGGGCAAACACATCTACAAGAGCATTAACCATTACCTATTCACAATAACATCAGTTTCTCAGCTCCCAGTTATGGTGAATCCAGTGTAAATAACACTTATCGGCAGTCACCAGAGGCTGGAATTGAACCCAGGTCTCTGGTGCTGTGAGGCAGCAGTGCCAACCACTGTGCCACCCACTTTGCTGCTGTTCAATTATAATTATTGACCTAAACTTTTCTGAACCCCACTCAGCATTGTAGCATTATAGTATGCATTGACTACAGTTGTTTATTCAAGTTGAAAGGTGTTAGTGAGTCCTCTCGATCCGTGAGGGTGCTTTAGCAGTACTTTGATTATGAAGTTATGGTTTGAGCTACCAATGAGAAAAATATGGTGAAACATTTTTCATTCAGGGTAGTTTGCAACATGGAAGAGAAGTGGAGCTGTTCTTGTCCTTTGAACGTTAATAAATACTGTTAGCCTTAATATGATCTTCCTGCGATTTCTACTCTTATAACAGTTTATCCAGTAAGCAGTCTGCTGTAGCCACATTACAACTATAGTGTTTGCCAATATGGGCCTTTTTTTTTGCTTTGTCCCCATGGAAATTTTGTCTCAAGGTACAGTTCTGCGTCCTGCTTCCCATGTGCAAAGTGTAAATTCAATGTCATATATTTATTGGTATAAAGGTTATTCAGCTCAGTCAGACTGATAGGAATTCTCCTGCTCTTAACAGCGTCATCAGCCGAGCACCAGGCCTCAAACTTGTTGTCGAAACACTAATGTCATCTCTGAAGCCCATTGGGAATATTGTGGTCATCTGCTGCGCCTTCTTCATCATCTTTGGCATCCTGGGAGTACAGGTCTGTATCTTCAACCAATCACAGGCCTGAATCCTGAGGGCGGTGGCTTTGCGTATCTGAGAGTGTGATGGGGGGGGTGGAATTGTGTGTGTCTGAGGGTGGAGTTTCTATGTGATCTAGAATGAGTACTCTCTCTGCCCCAGGGTAGGGTTTCTTTGCGTTCTTGAATGGGGTCTCACTATCATGGGTGGGGTGGGGGGGGTAGCGTGGATGGCACTCTGTCTGAGTTGTGGGCTCTGTGTGTCCTAGACTGGGGGCTCTCCCAGTCCAAGGTTAGGGCTTCTGTCTATCCAGTGGTAGAGATCCTAGGGTTTTCTCCAACAAAACAACCCTGACGTACAAACTCAACCAAAATATGGGCATCATTTTTATTTCAGCTCTTCAAAGGCAAATTTTACGTCTGTGTTGGCGAAGACACAAGAAACATCACAAACAAGTCGGATTGCATCCAAGCCAACTACAAGTGGATCCGTCACAAGTACAACTTTGACAACCTGGGGCAGGTACATAGAACATAGAACATTACAGCGCAGTACAGGCCCTTCGGCCCTCGATGTTGCGCCGACCTGTGAAACCAATCTGAAGCCCATCTAACCTACACTATTCCATTATCATCCATATGTTTATCCAATGACCATTTAAATGCCCTTAAAGTTGGCGAGTCTACTATTTTTGCAGGCAGGGCATTCCACACCCTTACTACTCTCTGAGTAAAGAACCTACCTCTGACATCTATCCTATATCTATCACCCCTCAATTTAAAGCTATGTCCCCTCGTGCTAGCCATCACCATCCAAGGAAAAAGGCTCTCGCTGTCCACCCTATCTAATCCTCTGATCATCTTATATGTCTGTATTAAGTCACCTCTTAACCTTCTTCTCTCTAATGAAAACAGCCTCAAGTCCCTCAGCCTTTCCTTATAAGACCTTCCCTCCATACCAGGCAACATCCTGGTAAATCTCCTCTGCACCCTTTTCAATGCTTCCACATCCTTCCTATAATGCGGCGACCAGAACTGTACGCAATACTCCAAGTGCGGCCGCACCAGAGTTTTGTACAGCTGCAACATGACCTCATGGCTCCGAAACTCAATCCCTCTACCAATAAAACCTAACACACCGTACGCCTTCTTAACAACCCTATCAACTTGGGTGGCAATTTTCAGGGATCGATGCACATGGACACCGAGATCTCTCTGCTCATCCACACTACCAAGAATCTTACCATTAGCCCAGTACTCTGTATTCCTGTTACTCCTTCCAAAGTGAACTACCTCACACTTTTCCGCATTAAACTCCATTTGCCACCTCTCAGCCCAGCTCTGCAGCTTATCTATGTCCCTCTGTAACCTGCAACATCCTTCTGCACTATCCACAACTCCACCGACTTTAGTGTCATCCGCAAATTTACTAACCCATCCGTCTACGCCCTCATCCAGGTCATTTATAAAAATGACAAACAGCAGTGGCCCCAAAACAGATCCTTGCAGTACACCACTAGTAACTGAACTCCAGGATGAACATTTCCCATCAACCACCACCCTCTGTCTTCTTACAGCTAGCCAATTTCTGATCCAAACCGTTAAATCACCCTCAATCCCATGACTCCGTATTTTCTGCAATAGTCTACCGTGGGGAACCTTATCAAATGCTTTACTGAAATCCATATACACCACATCAACCGCTTTACCCTCATCCACCTGTTTGGTCACCTTCTCAAAGAACTCAATAAGGTTTGTGAGGCACGACCTATGCTTCACAAAACCGTGTTGACTATCCCTAATCAAATGATTCCTTTCTAGATGATTATAAATCGTATCTCTTATAATCCTTTCCAACACTTTACCCACAACCGAAGTAAGACTCACTGGTCTATAATTACCAGGGTTGTCTCTACTCCCCTTCTTGAACAAGGGGACGACATTTGCTATCCTCCAGTCTTCTGGCACTATTCCTGTAGACAATGACGACATAAAGATCAAAGCCAAAGGCTCTGCATTCTCCTCCCTAGCTTCCCAGAGAATCCTAGGATAAATCCCATCCGGCCCAGGGGACTTATCTATTTTCACGCTTTCCAGAATTGCTAACACCTCCTTCTTCTGAACCTCAATCCCATCTAGTCTAATAGCCTGTATCTCAGTATTCTCCTCGACAACATTGTCTTTTTCCTGTGTGAGTACTGACAAAAAGTATTCATTTAGCGCCTCTTCTATCTCTTTGGACTCCACGCCCAACTTCCCACTACTGTCCTTGACTGGCCCTAATCTTACTCTATTCATTCTTTTATTCCTGACATACCTATAGAAAGCTTTAGGGTTTTCCTTGATCCTACCTGCTAAAGACTTCTCATGTCCCCTCCTGGCTCTTCTTAGCTCTCTCTTTAGATCCTTCCTGGTTAACTTGTAACTCTCAAGCGCCCTAACTGAGCCTTCACGCCTCATCTTTACATAAGCCTCCTTCTTCCCCTTAACAAGAGATTCAACTTCTTTAGTAAACCATCGTTCCCTCACTCGACCACTTCCTCCCTGCCTGACAGGTACATACTTATCAAGGACACGCAGTAGCTGTTCCTTGAACAAGCTCCACATTTCAATTGTGCCCAGCCCCTGCAGTTTCCTTCTCCATCCTATGCATCCTAAATCTTGCCTAATTGCCTCATAATTGCCTTTCCCCCAGCTATAATTCTTGCCCTGCGGTATATACCTATCCCTTTCCATCGCTAAAGTAAACGTAACCGAATTGTGGTCACTATCACCAAAGTGCTCACCTACCTCCAACTCTAACACCTGGCCTGGTTCATTACCCAGAACCAAATCCAATGTGGCCTCGCCTCTTGTTGGCCTATCTACATACTGTGTCAGGAAACCCTCCTGCACACATTGGACAAAAACTGACCCATCTAAAGTACTCGAACTATAGCGTTTCCAGTCAATATTTGGAAAGTTAAAGTCCCCCATAACAACTACCCTGTTACTTTCGCTCCTATCCAGAATCATCTTTGCAATCTTTTCCTCTACATCTCTGGAACTTTTTGGAGGCCTATAGAAAACTCCCAACAGGGTGACCTCTCCTTTCCTGTTTCTAACCTCAGCCCATACTACCTCAGTAGACGAGTCCTTATCAAATGTCCTTTCTGCCACCGTAATACTGTCTTTGACTAACAATGCCACACCTCCCCTTCTTTTACCACCTTCCATGATCTTACTGAAACATCTAAACCCCAGAATCCGCAACAACCATTCCTGTCCCTGCTCTAACCATGTCTCCAAAATGGCCACAACATCAAAGTCCCAGGTACCAACCCATGCTGCAAGTTCACCCACCTAATTCCAGATGCTCCTGGCGTTAAAGTAGACACACTCCAAACCACCTTCCTGCCTGCCGGTACACTCTGCGACCTTGAAACCTTATTCATGACCTCACTACTCTCAACCTCCTGTACACTGGAGCTACAATTCAGGTTCCCATCCCCCTGCTGAATTAGTTTAAACCCTCCCAAAGAGCATTAGCAAATTTACCCCCCAGGATATTGGTACCCCTCTGGTTCAGGTGTAGACCATCCCGTTTGTAGAGGTCCCACCTACCCCAGAATGAGCCCCAATTATCCAGGTATCTGAATCCCTCCCTCCTGCACCATCCCTGTAGCCACGTGTTCAACTGCTCTCTCTCCCTATTCCTCACCTCGCTAGCACGTGGCACGGGTACAGCAGGATCTGAATGATATGTTTCACAGGCTCATTCTCCGAACTGGCCAAAGAGTTTCTGGGGCTGACAATGCCCTCACTGGGCAGGAGGCATACCTTCTGCCTTGAGTGATGGTAGGGAGCACCTGACACCCCAGGAGTGGCACGAGAGGTTGTGGTCCCAGCAGGACCCGTGAAGCTCTGACCGTTTTTTGGAGGGAAGATACTCAGTGGAGCTTTTGATGTGTAAAGACACCCCACTCCCAAAAATGGAAAGGAACAAATCTTTAAGGAAGACTTGCTGTTCAGTCCTTGTCAGTAACGTACACTGTGCATATGAGACACTAATCAGCCATATTAGAGATAGACCAGTTTATTGATATAATTGGGAGGGTTTTAATGTGTTTGCACACTATTTGCACAGTATGCTAGGTGTACAGGAGTTCTGAGATCGCCATTACATTAGCAGTCCTCATATAGTCTTTTATATACTGAAGGTGTCGGGCATGAGTCAGCTGCTAATCCCCTTCCCTCTAGGTCTGACGATTGTGGGTTCAAACCCCACTCCAGAGTCTTACACTCAGGATCCAGATTGATACTAGATTGTCCGATTGTCTGACTGATGCCACATTATTAGAGTAGCAGGGACCAGAACCCTAGGCCCCAGCTGCAAGATAATTGTGGTGTTGCTGGTCCTATATCATGCAGAGAGATGGATTTGATGGATATTTAACATAACAAACAATTCACAGGAGCAGTATTAGTACCTCAGTGTAATTCTGGAGATTTACTGTTATGGCCCATTGTCTTATTTGCTTTAACAAATGTACTGATTCCTTCAAAGTTTGGTCAGCTATAGCACTTAAATTATTTTCATCATTTAATTTAATTGCACTGTGCTACTTGTTTATTGTTTTTAGTCATTTTTTGTTTTTAGCACTTATCAGTACTAGGTGCTATTTGTTTACTTATCATGTTTTCATGAATTTCTTGTGCTTTCAACATTGCTTTACTTAACACTTTAATTCTGACAATAGATTTAGACATTCTACTTCTAATGGCCATTAGATCATTAATTGTTATTGGGAACAGCACGTTCCAAGACTGATCTTGTGAGACTCAACTAAATGACTCATACCAAACTTGATGTGCTATGTTGGAACAATGCCCTTTTCCTTATTATTAAGTCAATTTGGTATCCAATATGTTATGACATCCTTTATCTTAGGTGCTTTCAATTTAAGCAAAGAATGTTCTCAGACAGCTTTTTAGAAATTAACATCTATAACATCAATGCCTTATGATACAACATCAAAGGCTGTTCATAATGTAATCTTCGTCATTTGTCTTTAAGCACAAATGCCTCAAAACACCACAAGCTACATTGAAATGCATTGATTGAGGCAATGTGAGCTAAAGCAGCAGCCATTTTGCACCCTCAGCCACCATTTTGTACCATCAATATGTGACAGGCCCCCCAGTGAGATGATTCCCACTGGGGAAGGGGTACATTGACCAAGAAACCAGCCAAACTCTCATATTAATTAGTGCTGTAGCAGCTTTAACATTCATTTTAACTCGCCTCAGTTTAACTTTTTTATTAAAGGAAAGCCTCTCTGGCAAGCTGCAGTACTTCGTGACTGTAATGCCATGCCAGGTTAAGATTATGTGCTGAAGTCTTGATGGGGGCCTAATGCAGAAGTGAGAGCTCTCTGCCAGTGAGCCAAGATGACATATGATAAATTTGTTCAGCACAACCTGGCTTTGAGTTGGGATTATAATTTTTTACTGTTTGTTCGGAACTATCTATATTTACAAAGTTCAATTGTTTTCCTACTGCAAATATTTACCAATCAGGTCAACAACTGTCTGCATCATGTTCTGACATTTCTTTAAAATCAGAACATGAGTAGTTATTTTCTGATTCACCAGTACTAATGCTGCATGAGCCAAGTAAGATCAGGAGCAGAATTTTTGTGCTGCTAATCCTACTCCTTTAGCGTATTTCTCCTCAGTCGTTGCCAAACCTAAAACGTATGTTGTCCACATTATGAAACATTATGTAGAGCAAGTCTAAATTCTGAGCCATTCATCTGTTAGTTTTGTTCTTGCATTTAGTACACGCTGCTTTGGAAATGAAAGAATTATAAATTTCAGCATGCTCGGTGTTTATTTAGGCACTGAGAGATAGGGTTGTTTGCTGAAAGCCAATGTCAACAGTGCCATTAACCTATGCGGTCCTGGGTCTGACCACGTGATATTTATGTCTATCCAAATGAAGCTGATTAATCTTGCTGTCAGTACTCATTTCAGTGATCACCCCTGCATAACATGTGATTAATAACATGTTGACACAATCCATAAGTTTATTATCTTCTTCTAACAGGCCCTGATGTCCTTGTTTGTTCTTGCATCGAAGGATGGCTGGGTCGACATTATGTATGATGGTCTGGATGCAGTGGGAGTAGATCAACAGGTAACATCAAATCTCAGGATTGTTCTAAATGCAATCCCAATCTCGGAATAGTGTTCTCATTCTGGTTGCTTCTTGAATCATCATTTCCAGTGGTCCAGGAATCACTGTTCCCAGTGGTTCAAGATATACTGTAGCCCCATGGACAGGAATGAACCATCCCAATGGTGTAAGCATCCCCATTCATAATGCTCAAGTTATTTACATCCCAAAGAAGAGTTTTGCCATCCTTTCTTAATGGAGAGTGAAGCCACCTTCCAATTGGAAGTGACACACAATTATTGCTCAGGGTAAGTGGAGTTGGACTGGATTGGAGAACTTTGTCAGATTATTTAGCCTGAAGGTGAAAGAAAAGGAGCTGTTACATCAGTTTCAAATGAAAGAAAGTGTCCACATAACAGTAGCAACCTATAACTTCTAAAGGTGTCCCTTCTCCCTGCATATTTGGTGGTTAGTAATTCTAGAAAAAAATATGAAGCCAGTATTTAACTCCATCTTTGGGGGTGCTGTTGGGCATTGGAGATGCTGTGGGTGATCCATTCTAATTTAGGTGGTGCATTGGCTAAAGATGCACAATCAGCTCAACATGAAAATAGACGGTTGTCTCCTCTACATCAGTTCTCAAAAACTGAAAGCTGTAGGGCAGGCTCTCCAAAGGCCACTACTAGACATTATGCTCAGAAGACCTTATAAAAGGATTATAAAATCATGAGGGGCACAGATAAGGTGAATAGCCAAGGCCTTTTTTTCAAGGGTAAGGGAGTCCAAAACTAGTTGGCATAGGTTTAAGGTGAGAGGGGAAAGATTTAAAAGGAACCTGTGGGGCAACTTTTTCACACGCAAGTTGGTGCCTGTATGGAACGAGCTGCCAAAGAAAACGGTAGAGGTAAGTATAATTACAACATTTAAAAGACATTTGGACAAGTACATAGATAGGGGACAGTTTTAGAGGGATATGAGCCATAAGCAGGCAAATGGGACCAGTTCAGTTTGCAATACTTGGTCAGCATGGACGAGTTGGGCTGAAGGGTCTGTTTCTGTGCTGTATGACTCTGTAAGAACCCCAGAAGTCCAAACTGCTGACTCCAGCAATTGGAAACAGCCATGAACTGACCCATCATCCTCATGGTTCCTGTGTCTCCTGTACCATTAACTCAATAACGTTCTCTGTTCTTCCCTCATGTTTGCACCTCCTCACTATTATTGACAAGATCACTACAGGGTTAGATTGGTGAGACAATGGTAGAGAGGTAATGTCACTGGTCAATTAATTCTAGGGGCCCAGAGCATTTCTTGGAATATAGGTTCAAATCTCACCCCGGCAGTAAGTGGATTACAAATAAAAGTCAATGAATAAAAACATATATTGAAAGGTAGTCTCAGTAATGGTGACGACAAAACTATCTAACTGTCAAAGAAACCTCTTTCATTCACTCATGCCCTTTAGAGAAGGAATCTGCTGGCCTACATGTGACTCCAGACCAACAGCAATATGGTTGTCTCTTAACTGAGTTTGGGCAGTGCAGGGGCTGTTAATAATTTGTTACTGAGCCCATAGAGGCATTCAAAGTGAAGTAATATGCCGTGCGATACGCAGTTTCCCCACTTCTGTAAGTGCTGCCTCAACTTCCTTTATCATAGCTAAAGAACCAGAACAGGAATCAGTGCTGGGGGAGGCAATGGGGAGGCGATGGCCTAATGGTATTATTGCTGGACTGTTAATCCAGAGACACAGATAACGTTCTGGGACCAGGGTTCAAATTCTGCCACAGCAGATGGTGGAATTTGAATTCAATAAATATCTGGAATTAAGAATCTGATGATGACCATGAATTGATTGTCAGAAAAACCCATCTGGTTCACTAATGTCCTTTAGGGAAGGAAAGTGCCATCTGGCCTACACGTGACTCCAGACCCACAGCAGTGTGGTTGACTCTTAACTGCCCTCTGGGCAATTAAGGATGGGCAATAAATGTTGCCTAGCCAGTGACGCCCCTCATTCCGTGAATGAATAAAGGGAAAAAAAAATTATTTCAGTAGAAACTGAAATTGCTTTTGAACAGAACTGTTAAAGTTATGAATAGTTTTGAAAGAGTAAAGAGGGCAAAATGGTTTTCACTAGTTGGAGTATCAATGACCAGATAAGACAGAATTAAAGTGATAGCTAAAGGTACCTAAGGATTTCTTTTCCTACACAACAGGTCATTCATGGTCTTGGAATCCATTGCATGACAGGGTGATGGAAACAGATTCAATAGATTCAAAAAAGGAACTGGATACATAGTTGAAGGGGAAAAGAAATGTAAGGCTATGAAGGAAGACCAGAAGAGTAGGACTAATTCGATTGTACTTCAAAGAGCTGACACCAGCACAATGGGCCAAATATCCTCCTTCCGTGCTGGGCAAATCTGTGATTTTAAGAGTCTTATTAAGTTACTGTCTTCGTGTTTCCAGCCAATAATGAATTACAACCCGTGGATGTTACTGTACTTCATCTCCTTCCTGCTGATCGTGGCCTTCTTTGTGCTCAACATGTTTGTGGGCGTGGTTGTGGAGAATTTCCACAAGTGCCGGAAACACCAGGAGGTGGAGGAGGCCAAACGTCGTGAGGAGAAGCGCCTCAGACGAATGGAGAAAAAGAGACGGAGTAAGGAGAAACAGCTGGCTGGTCGGTAGTCCTTCCTGTATCTTTCTGAGTCGTGCTTGACCTTTGACACCACTCCCTCAGTTCCTGACAATTAGGATATTCCAGAGCATGCCTGTTAGGCCTCTGCATGGTCCAGAAGTAAAATCCCATTGGCTCAGTGAACAGTTGCCCTGTCATTACCTCGCTTGCATGTTTTGGCAGCAACTCCTCCAGAGGTCAAACTGTCTTTTACCCAAAGCATTCTCATGAGTGTAGTACACACTAGTGCAAAGATATTAATGGCTCCATTCTGCCATCAGATGGTTGTCTCTGCTGCACAATACTCTGCCAGCTGAAGGGCCCAATGTCTTGCACAATTGACCTGGAAGGTGTGATCACTGTTTCATTGGGTTTTGGGGTTACCACATACATCACGACTGCTTCTCAACCCTTAGCCAGGCACATTCCCGTGCAGCATTATCTTAAGGCAATATTTGTTTAGTAAAGGCAAATCTCGGAAACCAGGCAATACCCTCCTGGTTGTGGAATTTAAGGTGCATAGTCTGCCATTCAATCTGTAAAGGGGACACTCCTCAGTAGCGTGCAGTATTGTTTGTGTCTGTCTACACTGGATAAGGAGTTTGTACTGAGGCCCACTTACTGGAAGTCAGCCGCTCTTAGTCCCTTGCATGTCCTGAACCTGTGTAGCAAAGACTCTTTTACTGTGGTAGTTCAATAGATGGGATTAGCTCAGTTGGCTGGACAGTTGGTTTGCAGTGCAGAGTGATGCCAACTGCAAGCATTCAAATCCTGTACCAGCTGAGAATACCGAGAAGGTCCTGCCTTCTCAACCTCATCTCTTTCCGGTGGCATAGTGACCCTCAGGTTAAAATCATCATAAGTCATTTCTCTCTCGCTCTCTAATGATGTGGAGGTGCCAGTGTTGGACTGGGGTGGACAAGGTCAGAAATCACACGACACCAAGTTATAGTCCAGCAAATTTATTTGAAAACACAAGCTTAGGACTGAGGCTCCAAAAGCTTCTGTTTTCAAATAAACCTGTTGGACTATAACCTGGTGTCATGTGATTTCTGACTCACTCTCTAATGAGAGAGCAGGACTATGTTGACTTTATCTTCAATGTAGAACAGCGGGTTATATGGTTGGTGTAATATTGTGCTTTGTGAGGTTTCTAAAGTGTGCTAACAACCACATAACACAATATTTTTATGTAATGATCTACAAACCTTACGATGGTCAGTTTTAATCAAGTTATTTTAATCAGCACGTAGAGAAATCAGTAACTCATTAATTCATCAACTCTGCCATAGCTGATATATGTGACAATCCTTCCAGTGAACATATCTCCCATTCCATTTCTAATTCCCAACAGACTGCAGTTTTGTAAAGAACAGGTTTATAGAAATATTGTTTGACTGAAACACTCCTCCTTTACCTTCCTGTCAGCAAACATCACTCACCTACACATCCTGCAACCCACAAGCTGGTTTACTTCCACTAACGCCGCCAAATCACATCCTTTGTTGTGAATAATCCATATATCCAAATAGAGTGCCTTACATTCAGATAAAGTGCCTTTCGTTCTAACTTTGTAACTCTATTCCATAATTTGCCGCTGGTTGATGCTTGGAATTGTTTCTGCTACTTACCACATTCCTTTGCGGCTTTTCAAATTCCCATAACTGACTTTTTTTATATCTCAAATCTGAAATCCCTCTCAAGATCCCATCCAGTTGGCAAACCTTCCTCTACAACTCTAGAAAGTTTCCCCACAAAGAAGTCAGCCAAGCTCAATCCACAGTCTACATGTAATTACATCGATTGTGGCCTCTCCATTCTACCAGACCTCTTGCACGCACCTCCTAACCCTCAGCCACTTTTCAGTTCTACAAATGTACAAATATGACAGACAGGAGAAGACCTGTTTGGCCCTGCAAGCTTGCCTTATGATGACTGGACCATTTCATCCCTACTCAGGGTACCCTATGATCATCCCTCAAACCCATTCCCAACAGGTATGCAATCCCCTGGGAAAGTCAACTAGAACAGCAAAACACAACTCCAAATACAAAACACGCAGGAACAGCAGGGAACTAGGGATGCGCTGCCCCTCAGGACAGTGACACACGTGGGATATTCTGTGGCAAAACAACACACTTCCAGGCTGTGATTTTCCAATCATTAAGCAGATCTTTTATCTCTTTACGGTCGGATTGGTTGATAAAACAACTTCAGACCCCCCCATTCACAGATAACATCGAGCATCTTATACTGGACAAACAGGGTCACCTAAAACCTGGCTGCTCCAAGATTCAAATCTATAGACTCTAAGCCCAAACAAAGCCACAGACATGGCCATTTATAGTCAAGTCTGAAACTGGATTGCAGTTTTGCTTTAAGACACAGCAGAGATTATGCCAGGCACTGTAAATCCCGTGCAATGTCACGCTGCACTCCAAGATGTCAGAATGTTGAGACACTCTTATTGTCCAGGTTAACTCTGGGGTCACAAAGAACAGCTTAACTCAGCCAATAGCAGTGTGACACAGGATCAAAGCAGGATAGCACAGGGACAAGTAACGTGTGACACTAGGACAGTGAAGGGGCATAGCACGGCACTTTGATAGAGTAGGATCAGAATCATCAGTATGACCCCACAATTGTGCTTGACTGCAATTATCAGTGTTGCATGCAGATGGTACTAAGACTAGACACACGAGAAGTAAATGGAGGACAGAGGCAGAAATGGATTCTTTCATATCTTCAGTATCAAGTTCATAGTTCAGTTGTTTTTCAAGAGCCTGGTCAAAAAGTCAAGCTTTCAGAGCTAAAAACAAAAGCCTTAGATTTAGAGTTAATGTTTAGTATTTGTTCTCTTCCATCTTTGAGTACAATGACTTCCACACTGCTGTGGCACAATCAGGCTCATCCAGATTGACTAGCAGTCTTTTGCAAAACTATTTATGAACTCTATGATTGCAGACTATAGGAAGATACCAGCATTACATTGTGTCTTGTGTTCACGTGAAGTCCATCAGATTAAATGGCTTCAGATAATTGATGTTTGTGGATTAGTGATCATTGTTCCACAGCCTCATATATGGAGAAGACAAATTGTTTTGTGCCTTGTCCCTTTCCAAAGTATGTCACAGGACGAGGGAATTGAAGGACACCTTCCAATACTGAAGCAGTCGTGCTCAAGGTGGTAACTCAAGAATCCAGAGTCAAACAGTGCAAAAAAAAACAGAATTTAAAATCTATCAAAAATCCTTGAGAAATACAGATAAAGGTCACGTTCTAGATGCAACAGCTCACTATACTTCTAAATATTTAAGTAGGGCATGGAATGTCACATTTGTGACAGCTAATCTAGAGGCAACACTGCTATGTCATATATTTGTTGCAGTCAGACACAGCAAACTGCTTTTCACTGGTGATAAATTCTTTTAAAATTAACAGATTCTACCTTTTTATAAAGTGCACCATAGTCTGGCAGATATTTCTGCATTGATATTAAATTTGTTTTTGACAGCTGTTGAAGTGAGATGTAAAAAGTTCCTTGTTTTTATCAGCTATTTCCAAGAGTAGAGGTGCTTCCGCAGGGCGTGTTGTAATTTGATTTGCCTGTAAATCAAAAGTTGTCTCTTTGCTTTGCATGCCTCCTCCTCCTACTCCTCCTCCTCCTCCTCCTCCTTTCCATCTATTGTTAGTTCCTTTCTGCTGTTGTTGCTCAGCTTTCCTCCAGTCTACGTCTCTTTCCATCCTCTCCACCTTTCTGCACTTTGCTCTCTTTCCTTCACTTCTTCCACTGTTCAATGCAATTAGCAAACTTGGAGCCTGAACTTGGAGCTAATCTCTCCTTTCCCCTGAAAAACAATCTGTAGTGTGGCAACTAGAATATTTAAAAAGGAAAGCAGTGCTTTGAGATAGCTGCTTTTAAATTTGCACATCTTAAAAGTGTTCACTCAAAAAGCATGAAACTTCAAAAGAGCAAAGCTTTCAAGCTACAGGGAAAAGCATGGTAGCTATCTCAAATTAATTCAGCAGCGTTGCAGTTCTCCAACTACTCAACTAAAGGGTTATTTGTTTGACAAATATGTTCCTTGTAGATGTATTACTGGAAGAATTTACTGTGGCCAGTTCAAGCAGCACAAGCTGATGCTTAAAGATATAAGGTGCCTGTCAAGAGTCTGGCTGCATCTTCCCCTTTTATTCCAACTTCTAATGTGAAATGTCATCCTTACCTATGTGCCCCTGCTAAGCTTTCAGAGTCATTCGGCATGGAAACAGACCCTTAGGTCCAACTCGTCCATGCCAATCAGATTTCTAAATTAATCTGGTCCCATTTGCCAGCATTTGACCCATATCCCTCTAAACCTTTCCTATTCATTTACCCAATCAGATGCCCTTTAAATGTTGTAATTATACCAGCCTCCACCACTTCCTCTGGCAGCTCATTCCATACACACACCACCCTCTGCATGAAAAAGTTGCCCCTCAGGTCCCTTTTAAATCATTCCCCATCTATACGATCTAGTTTTGGACTCTCCTACCATGGGGAAAATTCATCCAATCCATGCCCCACAGGATTTTATAAACTTCTATAAGGTTGCCCCTTAGCCTCTGACACTCCAGGGAAAACAGCCCAATACTATTGAGCCTCTCCTTATAGCTCAAACCCAAGTAACATCCTTGTAAATATTTTCTGAACCCTTTCAAGTTTCACAACATCCTTCCTATAGCAGGGAGACAAGAATTAAATGCAGAATTCTAAACAGAGCCTAACCAATGTCCTGTACAGCCATCACATGACATCCCAACTCTCATACTCAATGCACTGACCAATAAAGGCAAGCGTAGCAAATGCCTCCTTCACTAACCTGTCTAACTGCAACTCCACTTTCGAGGTCCATTCAGTACACTGCACAAATCCAGTCAAATAGTCAGGTGAGCCAAACTGTTAAAAGGCTAGTCATTGTCTGGCTGCCCCTGGCTATTTG